GCTGGCTAATTTTTTTTTTTCTTATGTAGAGATGGAGTCTTGCTAGGCTGCCCAGGCTGGTCTCAAACTCCTGGCCTCAAGTAGATCCTCCCATCTCAGCCTCCCAAAGTGCTGAGATTACAGGTATGAGCCACTGCACCTGGCCCCCAGTACAATGTTGAATTGGAGTGATAAGGGACATCCTTGCCTTGCCCTGATCTCAGAAGGAAGCATCTAGTCTTTACTGTTACGTATGATGTTAACTATAAGGTTTTAGGTAGTCACTCTTTATCAAGCTGAGGAAGTTACCATCTATTCCTAGCTTGCTGAGAGTTTTTATCATGGATGAATGTTGAATTTTGTCAAAAAGAAATTTTGGGCACTCCAGCCTGGGTGACAGAGCAAAGACCCTGTCTCAAAACAAAACAAAAACAAAAACCCAAAAAACCTAAAACAAGAAAACCACACAAAGTTGTGAGATGAAAGAGACCTTGTTTCCTCATGTCAGGCCTGAGCCATGATAGAACCTACCTTAGAATTTAAATTACAGACCAGTAACTGACTTTTTCCTCAAACCAGTTAGATGAAAAGATGAAATCCTGTGACTTGCTAACAGAATCCTGCCTACCTAATTCATGCGTACAGCAGATGGCCCAGAATAAGTAATCGCTGAACTGGCGTGGCCCCTCCTGGCCAGCGGTCAGGACTGCCCCACGGTTCCGCAGCAGAGAGCGACCTTCCCCATCCCTCCCCACCCCCAGCTTCCCACTGAGGAACACAGGCGGCCACAGGCAGCTCGGGCGATACTTGGTATACATCATACATTTATTAGTGAATATCCCTCTGAAATCAGCAACAATATTAAAAAAAATAATGATTGCACTACTTGGTCAAGCAGAACTAGCAACTTTCATTTTAAAAAAAGTACAAATCTGTTAAAAATTTCAATCAGTATACACATATATATAATACAACATACTAGTTATGTTAAATGCTACAAACCAATGTGAATCCAATGGAATGGAAAAAACCACACATTTAAGCTTTAAGAACCATTTTTTTCTCTATATATTAGCATTTTCTCAAATACATACATGGGAAAAATGAGGTAACTGTAAAATGTGCAAGGAACAAGGCCCCCCAAATTACATGTATTTATATATATATGTAATTTTATATATATACATATACATATACATATATATATATATATATATATATATATATAAAACCTTTCTAACACAGAATACAGGTGCTGGGCCCAGCCAGGGCTGGGGGAAGGTGCCCACTGTCATGCCCTAGGCCAGAAGTTGGTAAATAAAAGAGTAAACAATGACAAGCCCCCACCACAGTAAATCATTGGTAACATGGCATCTATAGCAAGGTCGGCAAATCACAAACATCCTAAGTAATTGTTTTATAAACCTTTTTTTAATAATGGTGTTTTTTTCTTTTAAAGTTATGTTTTCCCCCCAACAGCTGCATGTTGGAATCACTGCTGCAGCCAACACACAGCCTGTGAGCCTGTTTCTGCCTGCCCAAGGAACCGTAAGGGTTTTGAAAACCTTTTGCTAGGGTTGGGAAGGGTGGGGGTTAGAGAGGGTGGTTCTCTGTGTAAAACACACGGGTTTTCAACACTGCTATAAATATAGAAACGTCACCTGGAGTTATATACAGTAAGACTTTGGGTTCTCCGTGGGGTGGGACCAGGCTGATGGGCCCCATGGGAAGCGAGGGCGGGAGGCGGGAGCCAGGGCTGCTGCGGGGAGAACGAGGGTGGTTGGAGCATCCCTGAGGCAGCAGGCGCCAGGGGCTGCCTGCTAGGATGTGCCGCCCCACACGCGGTTCGTTCAGGGCAGCAACCCCAGCTAGGGGTAGGAAGGGAAAAGAATGGGACCAGGGAAGGAGGGTAGGGAGCTCAGCCAGACCCTACAGGGGCCTCCTCCAGACCTCAGAGGGCAGGGACCAGGCTGGGAGGGACCCCTGCAGATGGGAGTCCACACCCGCCCTGGTGCTCATACTCCTGGGACTTCCTTGGAGGAGACTCACCCAGGCAGGTGGGAGCCGGGCCCTGGCTGGAGAGGGAGAAATGCCCTGAAAACGTGCGGTCCCGGTGGGCTCTGGGGAGGTGTGCAGTACAGTGCATGGCAGTTATCAGCTGAGCACAGACCCCTCAACCCTGCCCGAGACCGCCAGCCGCCTGGCCCCGCCCAGCGCCAGCCACACACGTGCATGCAGACCCGGCGGCTGGACTGGACACTCTCTGCCCCCTGGGCACTCAGTCCTGGTTGGTCCCTAACCCTAACCCCATTAAACCAAAAGAAAAAAAAAATGTCGTTAAGTATCCACATCCCCAAATCCTACACTCAATTTTAGGCCAAATGAATAAACAAAAACTGCTGCTCCTCACATTCATGCAAAACGACAGAGAGGGGAGAAAATCAAGCATGGGTCTGTCCCCTCACTGGTGATGGGGCAGCCACCAAGAACACAGAGGCTCAGCTTTCCCCAGGCTCCCTAAGGATACATGTGCCTCAGCTCGGGGCTGGTCTCCCATGTGCTCAAGAGGCCCGGCGGGGGTGCCGTCCAGCGTGGGGGTGGGGCTAGAACGTTGTGCCTGGGGTGAGGGTCCTCTAGGAAGCCAGACCCACCCCTCACAGCAGCCTCGGCAGAGGTGGCTGCCTGAATCTGTCTGCTCAAGGCGGGAGGACTCAGCCCCGGGGCTCAGGGAATGGCCTCATGACACTGTCCACGCACCTGGCAGTGCCACTTGAGCACAGGGCATGCCATTTCAGTGCAAGAGACCAGATGACCCAGGATGGCGCCCCCTCTGCCCGTCCTGGGGCCAAGGATCTCCGCCAGCCACCCTGGCGCAATGGACCCCTGGCTCGCAGTGCCGGGAGAAAAAGGAGAGGGCCCTCAAGGCAAACAGGAGGGGGACCAAATTCGGGACACTCAGGCAGCTCCGCGGCGGGCGGGCAGGCAGGCAGATCGGGCAAGGAGTCTTTGGAGCTTGGCAAATGCAGGGACTTATTGCAGGGGCTTCTCACGGGGCTGACCCTGGCGCCAGCTCTGGAGATGCAGCTGGGACGACGGGGCAAGCCTGGATCACTCCCTCCCCATCCTCCCTGCCCCGCCCCCAAGTTTCCAGAGCTTCGGGCAGGGTTCTCCTGGGCAGCTATGGGGCCTCACTCAGCCTCTCTGGGCACCTCAGAGGCGTCGGCCCGGCAAATGGGACACGTCCGGTTAGCCTAGGGGGAGAGCACACATCAGCTTCACCCTCACCTGGCCCCCACCCCACTCTCGTCTGTCCAGCTGCCTGGCGAGACGTGGCCCTCCGGAGCCAGAACTTCTGGATGATGATAGCGATGAGGAGGGAAAGCCTGCAGACCTGCGCACCCCCACCCGCCCTGGGAGAGCACAGGGAACACCCGGGAGCCACCCCAGGCTGGTTACCTTCAACCACTTGTCGACACACTTGGTGTGGAACTCGTGGCTGCAGGGGAGGACTCGGAGCAGCTGCCGCGCCTCGAAGTCACTGAAGCAGACCACACACCTGGGGAGGGGTACAGAGCGTCACCTCCACGTGGATGGCCAAGGAGGGCAGGCGCGTCACAGAGTGTGATCTCCCCGAAGGTGGGGGTGTCCCACTGCAGCCCTGCCGTGTTCAGATGGCCGGAGATGGGTGTGGCACTCACAGCGTCTGCTCCGACTGATGGCTGTCCGGGTTAAAGCGGTACGACGGGAGCTGCTCTATGTCTGCTTTGGTGAGGCCTCGGGGCTTGGCATCTCCCAGGCGCTCGGCCAGGTTCAGGAGGGCCTAGAGATGGGCAGGAGGGGGCGGTCAGCAGCACCCAGGGCTGCAGGTCTCCCAAGCCGGCCCCTCAGCACGGAACCCACGGCACCTCATAGTTCTCCATCTCCACGTCATCCACATCCAGATCCAGGCTGATGGTGGGCCCCATTGCTGTTGGTGACATCGGCAGCATCGAGCTAGAGAGACAGGTGTCGGGGCCCAGGGTCAAGGTCAGTAGGGGTGGGGCACAGAGCTGCCTCCCTGACTCCTCCATGCAAGCAAAGCCCAGAGCTCTACACAGCTCACGTCGGGGACCCTGGTGGTTTTTTTTTTTTAACAGTAGAAAGAACATAAAAATTTATTACATGCATATGGGCAGGAGTCACACAAAACATAAACTCCCGGACCCTGGTGTTTGTTCCAGGATGTTGTAGAGGGGCAGGGAGCCCAACTAGGGAGTGTGTGTGTGTGTGTGTGTCTGGCTTGGTGGGGGTGCCAGATGGTTTTGGAGGCCCTGGGGCCCCTGGAGCTGTGTTTGGGTCTAACCACTGGAGATAGGAAAACAGGGCATCGCGGCTCTGGGGCAGATGTGCTGGTACTTACAGGAAGTAGGGCAGGAAGCTGGGGTAATAAGGTGGTGGGGGTGGTGGTGGGGGCGGTGGGGGCAGCGGCTGTTGCAGGCGGTATCTCTGGGTACTCAGTCTCCGCGGCATCATGTGAGAATACGGCTGCGAGAGGGGGCCAGGTGGAGGTCAGCCCAGCGGGTCTGTCTCCCAATTAACTGCCCTAGAGCCTCGGTGGGCGTTGGGGGTGGTACTCACCACACCAAAGGACAGCTCCTGGTGCAGTGGATCGTGGGGCAGGTAGTGCAGGGGCACTGACGGGGACAGGGTGGGGCCAGGGGCAGAGGTGGAGTAGGTGAAGCTACCCAGGGGGTGCTGGTCCGCCCGCAGGTCCACGTCATTGTCGAGCCGCTGTAGGGGCTGGAAGAGGCAGGGACAGATCAGCCAGTCAGTGAGACAGGGAAGCCCCCACCATGCTAGCCCCTCTAGCCCCTCTAGCCTCAGACGCGCCCCCAGACTCACCATACGTGGGTGCTGGGTCTGCAGCGATACGAACTGCCCAAGAGGCGCCATGTGGGTGGGCTGGGGGGGTGGGGCCGGCGGTGGGGGGTGCAGGATGTAGTGGTCACTGGAGATGAGGTGGGGGTAGGCCTGGTAGGGCACAGGGAGCTGCTGCATGGTGCACGCCTGGATCAGCTGCCAAGAGACAAGGTGGGCAGGGGGTTGGGGGGAGCTAGAGAATGTTCTGGGCTCTGGGCCAGGCCTATGCTTGTGATGAGGGCCAGGGGCCATTCCATCCAGCAAAAGGTTCCAGTGCACACACATACCCACCAGCTCCAGGGCCTGCACAAGAAACCCTCTGGAAGTCCAATCCCTGCCCTAGGCCGTACAGGTAGTCGCTATACTCTTAAGGCCCTTAGCCTAAACTCCGTGCCTGTGCCACCCTGTAAGGCAGACGCTGCGGTGCAAAAAGGTCTGAGAACCCCGAAACACTCTATCACTGTATGTGAACACACGTACGATTTTCTGGGGAGGGTCATGGCCTGGAGGCCGGGCAGTACTCTGGCAGCCTGGACGGGCATCCTCAGCTCAGCCCAGTCCAGGGGCCTGTGTCTGCTGAGCTACCCTGCTGGGGTGGAGAGCTGGGGGCCTGTGCCTGGGGCTTGCAGTGGGGCAGAGTAAGAGGTGGAAACACTCACTCACCGGGGGCGGGAGGCAGCAGAGGGGGTAGTGCTGTCCACTGAACATCACGGAGCATGCTGGGAGCTGCTGGGCACTGCAGCCAGGGATGTGCTGGCCTGTAGGCAAGGGGAAGCCTTGGGTCGTCACTGTGGTGACTGTGTAGGACAGAGGGACAGGTCCCTGGTGCACCTGTGGGTGGAGAGAGAGCCAGGGAAGCGTAGGGAGAAAGCCTGGCCACGCAAGCTACTCTCAGGAGAAAAGCGCTGCTAGGGCCAGCTCCCTTCCCTTCTCCGGCAGGGGTCCTACCTAGGTACAGACCAGACTGTGCCCCTGCTCCAGGCCCCCCAGGGCAGACAGCGGCCTCTGGGAATCTGAGAGGGGCTTAGCTCTTCCAGTTATCCAGTGTGGCCCCAGGGAAGGTCCTCCCCCTTCTCTGGGCCTCAGTTTACCTACCTGTAAAACAGGGCTAATAATGCCTCCCTAGAACATGAAACAAGTTAAGCAAGGTGAAATTAGGCCTCTGCTGCCTGTGCTTCTCAGACTGGCCTTCCAGAGGGTTGAAGACAGCAGGGATGGGGCGGCGTTCTGCCTACCTGCTCGTGAAGATCAACCATGAACGGGCTCTGTTGGGTGGCTGGGTGCAGCATTCGGGGGCTCCCGCCGGCAGGAGCCGAGGCTCGGTGCTCCTCTACAGGGAGGTGTGGTGGTCGGGGCAGCGGCTGCTGGGAGGGTAAGCGCTCATGCTGGGCAGGCAGGCTGGCCAGGGGGCCCTCACGGCCGGGGCTGCACCACAGAGAGGAGGCCCTGATAGGACTGAGGGGGGCCACTCATTCACAGAGCAAGGACAAAAGCCAGGGTCACTACCGCCACTGAGGAGGAAAGCTAGCTCAGGGCCCCGTGCCCACCACCTCCCAGCCCCTGTGCCCCAGCCAAGCTGGCAGCCTGGCATCAGGACCGGGAGGCTCCTTCCTACCTTCCCCACAGCTGGCCAGGAGTGCTGCCAGGTCCTGCTGAAAATCGCCGATGACCCACAGGGGCAGAGGGTGGCCACCTAGTCACTGCCAGAGCCCATGGTTGCATCAGGTGGGTAGAGGGGTGGAGGGGCTGGGCCGGGGCTCACAACCCTAGGAGGCAAGTAGACAAAGAAACTGAGGCACAGAGAAGTCTAGTTGCTTTTCCATTAGGTGTTGGGGAGACAGAATCAAATCCCCACAGTGTGATTCCAGGGGCCGGTGATGTTCACCATGCCCTGTGCTAATGTGCGCTCTGGGTCGCGCCCTCCTCTGGGCACTGGGGTCCAGCGCTGACAGACCAGGAACAGGCTCGGCCTGCCAGGAGCCTAGACCTCAGTCTCCTGCTCCGTGAAGTGGGATCAAGCCCCCTCAGAGCTGCAGTGAGTCCAGAGAGCTGGCCAGCATGCTTCCAGACCAGCCGGCTCCCATAAAGCTCTTGCTGGGTGGGGTCTCCCGGGCACCATGTCTTGGGGGCAGGGGCCTTCCTCTGCCTTATGCCAGGGGTGGGGGTTCCTGGGGAGACTCTAGCTTCCTCCCTTTCATCTGGTTGGCTTAGGAAGGATTCCAAACAGGCCTGAGACCCAGTTTTCCTCCCACGATTGCCAGGTAAGAGGTTCTAACCTGGTTCCTGCCCTCAGGGCTTCCAGTCCAAGGCAAGACAGTATTCTTTCTTTAACCTGTTCCCACAGTGCCTACTCTAGTGTGACTTCACCTACTCTTCAAGGAAGGTATTGTTAGCTCATTTTATAGAGACAGCTGAGCCTCAGCGAAAGGAAGAGACTTGCCCAAGGCCCCACAGTAAGTGTCAAAGCTGGGAGCTGGGCCAACTACAGCTTCTCCGTGTACCCTGCCGCCAACAGGGAGGACCAGCCCAAGCCTTCCCAGGAGGTGATGAAGGAAGCCAGTCACGGGTAGACTGCAGTCTGGCACACAGCCAGGCCCTTGCTCTGGGGGCCCAACCCAGCCCACAAAGTAGGAGGTGGGGCCTGCTGAGAAAAAAGGGGAAGCAAGAACCTAAGAGGGGAAGCTGAGTAGGAATGGGCCGGGGCAGGGTCACCTCCCTCAGGTTAGAGCGGAGGGGCCGGGCGGTGGAAGTTGGGGCGACCTGGCTGCACCCTAGGCTTCCATTCATTATCGCCAGAGGTTGGGATGAGGGGTGGCAGGGAAAGCTCTGGAACCTGTCAGACCCCGCACAGTTGAAGGGCGCATCAAACAGAACCAGCCCTTTGCTGCTCCTGCCACAGGGAGGGCCCCTCCGCCGCGTCTCCATCTAACAAAACTCCTTTACATCTCGATACCCAGCTCTCAGTGTCACCTCCCTGTCGACACAGCAAGTGTGACCACGAGCAAGTGTGACCGGCAGCTCACACTTGTTCCTCCCTGCCGACAGCAGCGAGAACCATTTCTTCTGTGCAGGGCTACGAGCTTGGGTCCTACTGCTCAAAAGGAGCCCGCACGGGAGGATCCTCCACGCTTTTTAGGACGGCGCCAGGCCAAGACCACAGAGGTGCGAGGTGTAAGAGCTGGAATTCACACTTCTCCCTCTGAACTCCAGGGCCCAGTGACCACCTTGTGTCCAGCACAGGGCAGGCCTGACGTGGTAATTGTGCCCTGAAGAGAGCCGATCATATAGGTCAAAGGCCACAGAGGCTGGCAGCAACGACGTTACTGCCAATGATTAGGAAGATTACTAAAAAGACCTGGTCTCTTGTGAGAGGGGAAAAAGTGGAAAATCTGGTCCTGATGGGCTTTATTTCTGCTTGGCCCCCTCGCCTGGAGCAAGAGCTCTCTCTCCAGGTCATTCCAGGTCTCTCTGCCCGCTGACCATAGGTGACCGAGTCTGTGCTCCCTGGCATGGGCCAAGCGCACATCCTCACACACAGCCTACCTAAATCCTGCTGACAATCCAAGCAAGCAGGCAGGGCCAAGGGACTCGGAGGGAATCCCCAAATAACTGAAACACACTCCTGGCCCACCCCAGACCTGCTGGCCCGGAAGCTTTGGAGGGTTGGGGAACAAGGGCACTTAGGTTTTTAACAAATTCCCCAAAACTCTCTATAGCACAGCTGGGTTGGGAATCTCTGCCCAGCTAACCTCAGAGATCCTGGGAACCCACAGTTCTGCTGATGAGGAACACTAACAGTGGTAACTACGATATTTCCCAAGTGCCGGGTTGGAAGTCTTCCTGGCAAGGAAGTTCTTCCCTTGGAGGGAAGAACACAGAGGCACAGAGGTGAGGTCCAAGGCCAGTCAGCTGGAACTGAGTGCACTGGGACATGACCCAGGCAGTGTGACCATAAAGCACCCACGATTAATCACCGAGCCAGTGGCCTCAATTGCTCCTCTTGTGCCAGGCTGTCTTGCTGATGGCTAGGCAGTGCCAAGGCTCGAGGGATTCCCACAGAGGCCCAGGCCTATGGGAATCTGCTCTGTGGCCAGCTCCCTACAAGGGCACCCATTCCTCAAGGAAGGGAAGATGGTAAGGAGCTGAGAAACCAAACCGGCAGAAAGAAGGGCCTCCAGCCATGGGTGACAGTGCCAACCCTCAGTCTCACACATGACACCCCTGACTTCTGGCCAGAGTCTTGGCTGAAGGCCTTGTACACACGGTTTCCCCTCTCTGATCTTCAGCTTCCCCATCTTTAAAATGGGAACAGTCCAATAACCACCTCCCAGTGCAACGTCGTGGACTGCTCCAAGACAACAGCAGAAGCAATTTATAAAGTTTGAACTCAGCTTGGGTGTGAATGATCATTATTAGAAAATATGATATACTGATCTCCATCCCCAACCCCCCAGCAGAAAAAGGGTGCCATTTCAAGCTCTGCAGGGGGCAGCAGGGAAATATGCTGCCACAGGGGAATACCCAGGTTGAGAAGGGAGTGGTTCTTGGTTCTTTAAGTCCTACCAGGAACAGAGGGAGCACACCCACTTCACAGTTGAGAAAACTGAGGCCCCGACTAAGGAAGTAACTTGCTCTAGGCCACAAATTCAGAAAGGAACAGAATTGGACCCAGCTTGCCCCCTAGGTCCAGACTCCCCCACCTCCAACTCATTGGCACTAGTAGTGTGAGGAAATCACCTAATCTCAAATCTGTATTCTAAGCCATAAAGGAGGTTGGGAGAGCATTTGCTTTCAGACACCCGTGATTAGCTCTGTTGTGGAAAGAAGTGATTGAGGCCCAGAGTAGGCGCTAGCAATTTGCTCAAGGTCAAACAGCAAGGGCGGACAGGTGCCCACCCCCTAACTGCTCTGCCTTTCCATACCTCCTCTGTACTGTGCGGTCCGTGAGGTGGGTGTAAAGGGGTCTTGAGAGTCCCGTCTGTAAAGTCTGATCTTGCCTGGAACCAGGCACCGTACTTTGCAGCCCCCCATCTCTAGCCAACTTCTTAAATCCAGTGCCCCAAGTAGCTGCCCTGATCCTGGTCTAGGGAGCCCCTCACATGTCGTTTGGGATCGTGGTCTGTTTGCAGGAAGAAGCATTTCCTTTTGGAGATAAGCAAAGTCAGACCCTAGGAGCATGAGTAGATTCAGGCAGGAAAAGAAGTCCTTCTGCCCTGCCCCTCCCACCCCAAGAGTCGGGCCCAGCCAAAAGAGCTCTCCACCGTGTGGTGCCTGGAGGCCACTGAGGGCTGAACCACCATACGTGGAGCGTGGAGTCCTCGGCCAGCCCGGACTCCCTGGGTTACCTTGGTCAAGGAAATCCCTTCACTTCTATGAGCCTCAGTTGCCACAACTGTAAATTGGGGGTGGAAATTTCTCCTTCAGAGCGCCCAAATAAAACCAGAAGAGACAAGAAGAAACCAAGGGGTCACATTAGAGGGGGAGGAAACCACTGTCCCTGAGGGGCAGGTCCCTACCCAAAGCGGGCCAGGAGCAGATTGTGGGGCTACAGGATGTTTCCTCAGTCACCCCTCCCTGGGTATGGGTCTGGGGAGTCCGAGGCGCGGACACCCTAGCCGAGAGGGGCCTCCCTAGTCCCCCTCCCATTCCTTTGTGCCGCGCTTGGAGGGACATTGGGGGCGGGAGGCCAGATTGCAGCGCCGCGGCCAGAGCGCTGTGACTTTAAGAGCCGAGGATCCCGGACCATGTGCTCGGCGTGAGACAAAAGCAACAACAAAGGAAGTGGCGGCCGCAGGGGGAGGGGGCGGCTCCTTCCTCTCCAACCGCAGCGCTCAGCCTCCGGAGAGGGAAGACCCAGCCTGGCCTGGGGGGCCTTGGGGAGGGGTCCCTGATACCAGGGGTTTCACCACCCCTAGTCCAGGTGACCGCCCGTGATTAACCCCTGCGGAGCCAGCTAGATTACGGCCCCCATTCCCCGGGGAGGGGAACAAGAGTTTCAGGGGGGCGGGAATCGGGAGTTGGGGGCCCTGGCCCCGACTCACCTTTGGCCGCCCGGCCACACGTTGACTCCTTTGTTCCCGATCTAGGCCCGCCAAGGTGGCCAGGGGGGCGGGGGAGGGGGCTGCCTGGACCCTTTAAGAGCCCCCGCCCTGCGGAACAGTGTGCTCCCCTCCCCACCCCCCGGTCCGAGAGCAGCCCGGCTCCTTCCGGGGCCCTCTCTCTTTGTTGTCCGCCCGACAGCGTCTGCCTCGCGAGGCCCACGCGCGGTCAGCCTCTCTATGCCCAGGCCCTCCGGCAGCGAGAGGCAACGCAGGACGCTGCTGGGTTTGCGCGGCTGCTGGCGGCTGGCCCTTTAAGAACTGTCCGCGGCGGCAGCAGAATATAACAAACCCCACATTTGATTCACAACATTCGGAGCGGCGGAGTCGCGCGCCAGGAGGGAGGGGGGCCCGCGGGGGCGCGCCCAGAGGCTCCAGGAAACAGTAGCCGCCTGCTAGCCCGCGGCGGCCCCGCCCCGCGCAGGCTCCGAGAGCCAATCACTCGCCTCTTCCAAGCACGTGACTGGTGGGCCGCCATCTTGAGAGACAGATTTTTTTTTTTTAAAACCTCCTCTTCCCTCCCACCTTCGCACTTAAAGTGACCGCAACAATAATCAAGGCAAGGGGCGGGGCAACATGGCCCGACCTAAAGATGAGGAAACCCTGGGGTGGGCACGACCGATCGGCTGCGACTAGACTATGCTATGCAAACTTGCGAACTACTCGCGCCTCTGGGGCTCAGTTTCCCTGCCAGAGAAATGGATCTCGCTGGGAGAGCCGCAGCACGGACTCACTGTGTCATAGTCCCCTCCTCGGGGACCCAGCGCCGCCTGGGACACTGAAGTGCAATAGAACTGACCTTCGACAGGGCGGGAGCAGCCTCGCAAGTCGGCCCAAGTGGTTAGGATGGCCCCAACAGCCCTGGGCCGGCAACTTTCCCAGAGATGACGTCACCCCAGAGCTGCAGCACCGCGATGACATCATGGCCTGGCCGCCCCTTATCTCTTTGTTTATACTATACGGCGTCTTTAAAAAGCTGGGACGGCCTGGATTGCCCAACAGACCAATGGCAGGTGACCCATGCAAACGAGCTGACGCCTGCCGGGCAGTAGGATTGGTCCGACGCGCGCTGACGACACAGAGACATTTAACCGCCCCGCCCCCTGCATGACCGGGGGGAAAGGGGCGGGGAACAGATTATAGTTTAAGGCAAAATTGCAGACGTTGGGTGCTCTCCGTGCTCAAGGCTGGGCCTGGGAGAGTTAGGTGTCCTCGCAGAGAGCTCCCTTTCCAGAGGAATTGGTGAACTAAACCCAATGAAGCCTCTATATTTTAGTTTTATATTCCTCCCAGCAGCTATGAAACACAGGGATTACCACAGCCAGTCTATTTTACAGATGGGGAAAGTGAAGGCCTTCACTCACCCCAGATCACACAGCTAGGAAGTGTGGCGGAGCTGGAATTTGAACCCAAGCCAAAGCCTTGTTCTCCTTTGCCTTGGTGCCTCCCTAGGCAGACATTGTACAGAGTGAAGTATTATCCAGTGAACTGAGTATTATATAAGCAAAAAAATCAGTAATACCCTGAATATCCAAGAGCTGGATAGAGGCCTAATAAAGAATGGTGGGTGTATCCATATAACTAATAACTGGACTCCTGTGCAGCTACCACAAAGAGACACCTGGAGGTGACATGGGGCTATCTCCAAGACAGCTGTAACAAAAGTCACCAATGCATAATGTTAACATCTGTTAAACCTGTATGGTGAACTACCAGGGCAAGGGTGAGGGGTTCATTTTCTATGCTTGTTCGACATATTTAATAATCCCAAATTTAAAAATAAAATTGAAACCAAGATGCTGAACAGGTATAACAGTATGTATCAGGTTCTTTGTTTGTTTTAATTGGGCATATACCACATTTGCATATAATATTTCTGGAAGGATATAGAGGAAACTGATTAACAATTGTCCTCAGGGAGCACTGAAAAGGAGAACTGAGTCAGGAGGATAGACTATTGTATATGATATTGTACATTTGCTTTTTTTTTTTTTTTTTTTTGAGACAGAGTCTCGCTCTGTTTCTCAAGCTAGAGTGTGGTGCGTGGCGTCAGCCTAGCTCACAGCAAGCTCAAACTCCTGGGCTCAAGCAATCCTCCTGCCTCAGCCTCCTAAGTAGCTGGGACTACAGGCGTGCGCCACCGTGCCCGGCTAATTTTTTGTATTTTTAGTAGAGACGGGGTCTCACTCTTGCTCAAGATGGTCTCGAACTCCTGAGCTCAAGGGATCCTCCTGCCTCGGCCTCCCATAGTGCTAGGATTACAGGTGTGAGCCACCGGGCCCAGCCCATTTGCTTTTTCAAAAGTCCTATGCAGTATAACCTATTGAAAAATTTACAGAAAATAATTATCAAAGAGTAGACTTTAAGTCTTTTAAGCCATAAAAACTTTTGTTACCTTAGAGTCAGAAATCCCCCTTCAGAAAAGGTATCCAGTGGAAACCACCCAGAAGGAAGTTTGGGGAACAGACATGCTTATGGCAATGTTTAGACCCAAAACAACCAGTATCACTGTGGATGTGACATACCAGCAACACAATGACTGAGGATGTACCTAGTGGGCTGTCTGCAGATCTCTAAGCAACACAAGATCAGGTACATGATGCAGTGCTACAGATGTTACCTGGAATGCCAAACTCTCTCCATCACAGTTCAAACTATGTGTGCATGAGAATAATTGTGAATATACAAAGTGATGTCTTCTTCAATCGGTTCATTATCAAGTCTTCCTTCACCTCCTATGGCTTTCAACCTTTTATTTTCCCTGCCATGTAAAAGCAATTAGAAAACCCCACATTCAAAGGTACCTTTGCAAGATTATCCCTGCCTCCTTTATAAGGATAGAGCCTACAGTGGCTCCCTGCCAAATGCATGTAGGCCTGGCCTTGGGGGCTGCACTTAACAAGCTCTCCCTGCCCAAATCGTTAGGGCTCACCTCTCCCTATCCCCTCTCCCACAATCATGGTGGTGCTCCCTCTGGTGTTCCCCATCTGCCACCTTCCTGCCTTTGCTCAGCCCGGACGGTCTGCCTGGGATGCCCTGTGTCTTCCTTTCTACCAACCCATTTTCTGCTGTTTGAGGCTCTCCTCCCATCTCACCTCTTACAGGAAGCTGTTTGTGATGTCTCCAGCTTGTACTGAACTTCTCCATCTCTGAATACAGGGCTATATGCACCCTGACCTTCACCTCATGCTATTTAATGTGTACACAGCTCTGTCACGATCACTGCGTGTCTCATTCAATAAACCCCTTCCTGGCTGAAGGGATTCAACGTTTTTAAGTGCACTGATGACCAGGCTTCACTGAAGTCAGACGTCACAGGGGTACTCCAGCCTCACTTTATGGATGAGTATCTGAGGCTCGAAGAGGTGAAGTGACTTGTCCAAGGCCACATAGTGAGAATACCTTTGCCACCCCCATCCTTGGAAAGCAACCCTCTAGTCACAATCTAGTCATGTACTTTTAAGCCACCAAGCCTCTGACTCTGCCATTCTCTCTGCCTAATATGTCCTCAACATCCCCAACTCACCTCTGGCAAAAATCCTGCTCAAATTTTGGGGCTAACTCAAAAACCGCCCACTTTGAGCATTCCCCCTTCCCTGACCTGTCAGCTTGCTCTGGCGTCCTCAGTGCGGTAGGATTATTGTCACACTGCACCATGACAGCAGCAGGCTATCCCCATGGGACTGCTACCCCTCCTCCCAGCTCCAGGGCCTGGTGTATCCCGGATGGCAGATACCCAGGGAAGGGCCTCTGGGCTTGCCCCTGATCCTACAGGGCCGAGCAATCCCTGCCCTGTCTTGTCTCAGGCATGACCCTCTTATTGATTCCCCTGGGCCTGGGCCTGGGCCTGGCCCCAGGAAGCCCTCAGTAAATCCCCACAGTCCCCTGGGGTTTCCCCCAGGCCAGAGGCCAATTACAACCTCTCCCCCTCACCTGAAAGGCCTTTGTGGGCACATGCGAAAACACTCTGGAGCAAGTGGGAAGGGACACAATTTTCCTGGATTTTCCAATTTTTCAAGAGAAGCCATAAATCTGAATGTGTCTTTGAATCTCTCCTCAGGTTCATGGTAAGTCTTACGCTTTGGAGCCCCTGTGTGGGGATATGGCCTGCATACCTACTGTGTGCCTCATTCCCATCCCTCCCCTCAAAGGCACATACTGTTTACTTTCATCTTACAGAGAGGAAAGTGGTTCAGAGTCAGGAAGTGGCTCCCCTCACCACAGAACGTGGAAGTGTGGCCCTGTGGGCTCCAGAAATCACAAGTGGGGTGGCCCACCTCTGCTCTGCCACCTGTTGTGATGTTCTGTGAAGAAATGGGGGTCCTAGGGTCTCCTCTAAGTCTGGGTAAGTCCCACTCTGATCATCCTCTCACAGTGACGTAAGAGCTAGAGCCCAGTGTTGCCCCATTTCACAGATAAGATGAGAGGTGATAAACTCCCCCAGGGTCACACAGCCATCGAGAGGCAAACCTGGGGTCACATTCTAATCTCACATTGTTTGGTCTGTGCAATGCAAATGCCAACACAGGAGCCCCCATAAGCAAATCAATAATCAGAAACACAAAAGTCCCAGGGCAAAAGGACACCACAGAGGCTCGGGGACTAGTAGGTGGCTCCAGATCACACAGAGTGGGTGACAGCCAGAGAGGGATTCCAAGCACTTGATGCTACATTCCAGCTTCCTCCCCCAGGCCTCCTCTGCAGATGGGAGGGACTTGGGCAGCTGAGGGGGAAGAGGAGGGTGTGGTCATCGTTTCCTGCTGGGGCCTTGCCCAGCCACGGTTCCCTCCTACCCAACAGCCTGGACAACTTGCTGCTCCCTCTCTCAGGGTCAGAAAGTACCCCACTCCTTTCTTCCAAAGCCCCTTAAACCCTCCTCCAAAGAGGAGGGTCCTGTAACCTTCCCAGGATGGAGCTGGGGAACACCGAGATTGAGGGACCACCCAGGGACACACAGCCCAGCCTGGTAGAGCCAGCTCAGGCCTCAGACCTCCCAGATACCACAGAGCATCAGACCCCAGCC